CTGGCCAGGTCAGCCTCCGCCTCTGCGACCCTCTTTCTCGCTTCTAGCAGGGCGCACCTTGCTTCCATCACTGATGGCGCACTTCCTGACGTGCGGCTTGATGCGAGCGACGGTGTCTGCCTGTTGAAGCTGGTTCTTGGACTGGTCGCACTCTCTTCGTCCTCAAACCCCAGTCGCCTGGGAGCAGCTCCCTTGGTTGAACGAGCACTCGTTCTTTGTTCCTCCGCCATTCGCGATCCGGCTCGAAGGACCAATGTTTGCGCCGGTATTCTCACTCACAACACAGAGTCTGAGGTTTATAGAATATTATCACTAGGAGAAGACTGTATCCATTGCAAACTGATTGCAATACTTCAAAAGGCTAGCTACTACCTGGTAGTAACAGAAACAGCCAAAGACCAAGAACCTAACAACTGCACCAGCAAGCTCTTTCCTTGCACTCCCCCAAATACATCAAAATCAAGCAGCAAAATGCAAATCCACACGCATGTTTGCCGGAACTGAACCTCCATAGCGCAGCTGATCATTGCGGCTGCACGAGACGACCTTCCCGCCACAGTAGGACAAAGAACTATGCATGGAACTAGCAATGAATGCATGCAGCAGTTATGAATAGGGACATCAACAAGACACAACACACAGTAGTCATGAGCAGGCTGAGGTAACTGAGCTCTGAGGGCCGGGGAACAGTACAGACATGTGCACAACAGCACCTAGGTTTACTACTACCCAAGGTTATTCATGTCTTGGTCTAAACTGAGCAAGTTACTAGTGGAGATCTGTGGGGTGACTTGGTCGTACCAACAGTTGGCAAAACACGAAGCCACTTTTTAGCTTGGCGCGGCTCACATATACATGTACATGTATATGTTATACATGTACATGTATAACCTATACATGTAACCTATACATGTACATGTATAGGTTATACATGTACATGTATATGTTATATATATATACCCTCTTCTTGCCCGACATCAGCAGCATCTTTGTATCCTTGTGCAAAAAATCTTCCTAGCCCAAGTCCCGAAACATATTGCCAAGTACAACTGGTTTGTTACCACTAGACCAACACGCAATGCCTTATCACTGCCCCGAGCTAGTTCCTCTCTGTTTTTGAAATCCCCTTTCTTCTCAGCATACTCCCTTTGGTCTAACCTGCCTACTAGCATCAAGACATGCCAGGATATCAGGAAATTCACAGTCCAGCTTTCCACACTGTCTCATCCGAAGTGATCCCATGTATTATTAATGTGCCTCCCTTTCTTTTTCTCTCCCTATCTCCTTTCCCTCTCTGACAGCATCTTTCTTTTTTTTCCCTTTTAGCTTGCCGTGGTTGGCTATCACCTGACCTCTCATGTTTATTGGCAGTCTTCGGACGGGCCAGGAGATGTTGAATAAATAAATAAATAAATAAATATACATGTACATGTATAACATATACATGTAACCTATACATGTGCATGTATAACCTATACATGTACATGTATAGGTTACATGTATAGGTTATACATGTACATGTATAACATGTACATGTACATGTTATACATGTATAACATTTACATGTAAATGTTATACATGTATAACCTATACATGTACATGTATAGGTTATACATGTACATGACTGTATACTCTTGGTGCTAGCTGTAGCAGTGCTACATCATGTAGATCTACACGCGCGGTATGGTATGCATGCACTCCGAAACGTATTTTTTAGAAACGCCTTGCAGGCGAACCCACCCACCAGAAACGCCTGTTAGACGTCTCTAAGTAAATACATGTATTTACGGACGGTCCCTAAGAGCAAACCACTAAGACCCGCTGAAACGATCATTCAATAACTCCTAACGATCAACCAATATCATTAACGATCGATATATTGGTTTTATCGATTCTTGTCGGCTCTACTCGTGTACTTCGGACACCAGTTTTGGAGAAATTCCATGATACCTTTGGTACATTAGAAATTTGTGGCACCGCACTGTTGACATCTGTGGAAATCTGGCTGGTTTTATCAACATGAACTAGAGAATTTCATGTTGTTTCTAGAGCAAAGAATCTTGTCATCACCCTCTGGCAACTGCTCTTATCTCCAACCTCTCACACAAATGAACCAAAGAGACAAAGTCTTCTCTCCTGATCTCTTTCAAAGCCACAAATCAATTTTGCCGCGCTTGGAAGTACATGATTGTGCTCGTATTCACTATCGGATGGAGTGCAAGGGCTAGAATACTGTCACTGATATGCATGTATAATAAATCGGTAGCACTCGTTTTGAACACTAACGATTATCGATTGCACTCTTAACGATCGATATGCGAGTTATCGGTATAATTGTTTCAGCCCTACTGTAAACCAAAAGAAACAGAAGACGGGATAGGCGTGAGAAGAGGCAACAGGAACAGATAATTATGAGAACAATTGTGTGCATGTGATAGCCTCTACTGAAACACTGCTTATAGTATATGTATGACCATTTCAAGCTCCACGAACCAGTGTGGAAATAGAGAGGAATTCACTGGGAAAGCAAGATAGTCACTCTGAAACATTCAAGCTTCTGGCTGTAGCAGATTTGACAGTCTTCATCAAAGGTGCTGCAAAGGTTGCATCATAGCACGCACCAGAGAGGCCATTCATCTTAGCACTGATGAGGTTACAGACAGTGGAAGGAAGGAGACGACTGAGCTGGTCTTTCTCAATTTTCCCACAACTGTGAACAAGCCCTCAGGATCGGCATTGGCATGCGGAAGTACCAACAGAAGTGAAGTCTTTTGCATAACTACGGGAATAATGCGGACTGAAACCCAGTTGCAACTGGAGATCGTACCTGGTTTTGCCGGTTTGGGTAGTCAATGGCAAGCAGATCTTGGGCAGCTTGAATCACTTCCGGCTTCACAAAGTTGGCTAGAAAGCTGCGCAAAAATTCATGACGTCCATCTGCATTGTGCCGATCCTCGTAGACATCGTCTGGAACGCCGTGTTGAAAGTATTGAGGGGCTTCAGTGCAAAGGCGACAAAGGATGCATACAACTTAGTTTCTATGCTCTCGAGCTTGTCTGAAACCCTCACGGCTCGATCATTGCCATTCTCCCTCTTGCGGTCGAAGTAGGAGCTGAGGGCAGGCCAAAGGACTGGCAGACGATTGATGCAGCGGTCCAAGCTAAGCCAGCATGTGGTGCAGTGCTCCAAGCTAAGCCAGCGTGTGATGCAGCGCTCCAAGCTAAGCCAGCGTTTGGTGCAGCGCTCCAAGGTAAGCCAGCGTTTGGTGCAGCGCTCCAAGCTAAGCCAGCGTGTGGTGCAGCGCTGCAAGCTAAGCCAGCGTGTGGTGCAGCGCTCCAAGCTAAGCCAGTGTGTGGTGCAGCGCTCCAAGCTAAGCCAGCGTGTGGTGCAACGCTTAAGAACACAAACTGGTGCAATGTCTTCGAAGTCAGTCAGTATATCGGCAAACTCTTGGCAATGCTTGGAGGACTGTTTGAAGTGGTTGAATACATCTATCAGGAGCTGGTCAAGAGAAATTGGAAGCACCTTCTAGCCAGCCGCAGCGCTCCGGACAGCAAGGTGGCACACACAGGCCAAGCTGAGCACTTTAGGTTGCTGCTCTAGCACCCTACTCAGAACAGAATTACGTTTGTCTGTCATCACGCTCGCACTGTCCGATGCGGAGCCAATCAAGTTCTTCCACGGTATCGCTTGTTTTTGAAACACTTCGCCCATGGCCTGGAACAAGGTCTGACCAGTAGCAATGTTGCAGACTGGCATGTCCAGGAAGCGGGTTGCTGCTCTACGAGTCTTCTTCTCCCAGTACCGGACCATGATACCGAAGTACTTCTTCTCAAATGCATCATTGCCGCCGTCACACATTACACTGAACGGCTGTGAACGGCAGGCTTTGGTAACAGCGCCATCAGCTGCTGGTGCCAGGGCATGTGACACCATGGCTGTGTTTTTTTGTTCTGGCACAAGAATACAGCTCCGCAATTTTACTGCCCGGGAACTTTTTCTTTGTCAGCTTACTAAAATGACCTGCGGAGGGCAATGGCAGGTTGTGCTCCACTAGAAAAGTTGTAAACAATAACTATGCTGTCAGGACTTGGTCGCTACCTGCTGGCTTGGGTGAAGCGAAGAGAGCTCTCACTGGTCTCTGTTTACTTACAACACGTGGCGCAGCCGTATGTTTTAGTCTACCGCAATGACGCTTGACTTCGAGGACTCGTCCACCGCTAACAGAGAAATCACCGTTGCAAACCCTGCAGTGCGCAAAGGTCTCTCTCTCTCTCTCTGTCTCTGTCTGTCTCTGTCTCTGTCTCTGTCTCTCTCTATCTATCTCTCTGTCTCTCTCTCTCTCGCTCTCTCTCTCTCCCCCTCTCTCTCTCTCTCTCTCTCTCTCTCTCTCTCTCTCTCTCTCTCCCTCTCTCTCTCTCTCTCTCTCTCTCTCTCTCTCTCTCTCTCTCTCTCTCTCTCCCTCTCTCCCTCTCTCTCTCCATTGCTGTGTCGAATAAAGATTTCGGCATGATGATGGATTTTCCTGTCCCGCAGTCGGAACTCGAAAAGCATAGAGTAGTGAGACTGAAAAGGGGCAGAAAGGAATAATAATTATGTCTTTGCGAGCATATCCAAAGCGCCCCGACATGCTGCCGGGATCTGGTTTCCGCCGGTCCGCAAAGTGGTGGGAAACATTTTTCCGCTGTCACGGTCACGGCAACATCAGTGAACCAGTATGATGACATTACCATTCCGTTTTCATTTCACAGCATTCTCAACTAGCTGCTGGTGTTTTCATTTCACAGCATTCTCAACTAGCTGCTGGTGTTTTCATTTCACAGCATTCTCAACTAGCTGCTGGTGTTTTCATTTCACAGCATTCTCAACTAGCTGCTGGTGTTTTCATTTCACAGCATTCTCAAGTAGCTGCTGGTGAGGTCCGGCTGTAATGAGCAATCGTTTTCTTTGTGATAATAAACATATTTTTCTTGTGATGTTTGTTTTTTGTTTGCATCCAGGCTTTATGGAGGAGAAGAAAGGGTGATATCTCATCCACCTATTGCCTGAGCCAGGTACTCCGGTCCGGGTGTGCAGATGAGCTGGGTTCCTGATGTTGAAAGAACTTCTGGTGCGTGATTTTTAATTCAGTACTTTTGGAGTTGTGGCAAATATTCGATTTTTATTCAATCTAAGGCTGTGCTCAAGTTGGAATTTTTAACTCGGGCTGAAAGTCTGTACAGTTCTGAAGTACGTTCTGAAGCAACACAAATAACAGCTGTCCATTTATTTTGTTGTTGGAGATTGAGTAGGAGTTTTTACTGGTTGATTCTAAATACAATAAATGAGGAGGCCTTGGGTTTATGACCAATAAACCCTCGGCCTCCTCATTTATTGTATACATAAGAATGGCGTAACTCCTCTGTAGCCTTGTCATGATTTTAAATTTTTCACCGCCCACGGCCGCACAAAGTCCTTGGCTACAAAAAAAATTAAAATCTCTCCAAACCAAACTTCAAATTCCTTTCCAAATTTTCGCCCAAGAGGGCATCTTCAGGGATATGTGACTCCTGTGAACAAAACAACAATATAACTACAGAAAAAGGTAATAATAATAACGTGGCAATATACCAGGAACATCATAACTAGTGCTAAGAATTGAGACTAACATTGTAGATCATGTCACATATTCAAAAACACAAACAGAACCTACCCACAATATCGCACGCCAGATAATAGCCTAAAAAATGTCTCAACTTGCAAGATCTCAAGTCAGGTGATGATGGGTCAGCGTGAAGTGCGTGTCTCAACTAGTGTGATCGCCAATTAGATGTGAAGGTGACGAGGCCAGAAAGAGAGAGAAAGAGAGAGAGAGACAGAGGCAGAGAAAGATAGTGTGTGTATGTATGTGTTTGTGTGTGTGTGCACGTGTGTGTGCGTGTGTGTATGTGGGGGGGGGGTGTGCGTGAGTGCGAGCCTCACGGGTGGTAATTGCATCTATTCGATGAGATGGTCTTGCCCACGGTAACCATGAAAGGTCCTGTTGTCTGGATGAATTCATGCCGATAGTCTCCATCCACTGTCACAGTTGATTGCTGGCTTTCTGCTTCTGATTTCGGCTGCTTCCATGTACTTGCGGGAAGGCAGCGAAGACTCCCTGCCGAGAATCTTGGCGTGGTGGAAAGGCTGGAAGTTAGGCAAAGATGTTGCAAATTCTCGGTGGTCAGACTTGTAATGCCCCCCCCCCCCCCCCCAGGGAGTCTTCACTGCCCTCACCCTTGCCTCTCGATAATGTTCCTTGAATCTTTCCCTCACTGGACGCTCGGTTTCCCCGACGTAGAGCTCCTCGCACAATGTACATGGCATACAATAGACACTACATTCTTCGTCAGACATTCACTGCTCTTCACATCCGCGTCGCATGCTCTGCACACCATTGGCCTGCCAGGACCACGCTTCACCTTCGCACGCTGCACATCACGCGGACACATACGCGTACCAAACGACGAACGGACAAGTCTACGCTTCAATGACGGACCAGACGTGAAAACAAGACGAACATCTGGACTATACTGACGAACACGGCGAGAAACCCGAGCGGCCAGTGCATCATTGATGAATGGGAGCTTGAGAATTGATTGATTCGGCTTTCTTCCATGGATTCATCTTGCCTCGATTCGGTTTCTTTGCTGTTTTAACTGCCCGCTTAATTTCTCGATCTGGATAGTCGTTGGCTTCCAGTCACGCTGTGATTTTCTGGATTCCAGCTCCTCTTCCCGCCTCCGTTGAACCGTTGGAGATTGCCCGACGACACTGATTAACTGCGACTGCACGCTTTGTTGACAAAGGGAGAGACGACAGGAATGACAGGTCAACTCCGCTGTGTGAAGGCTTGACAAACAGTTCCCACTCCAACGTACACTCGGGACTGACACTCAACGTCAAGTCAAGGAAGTCGATGCTCCTGGTGTCGTTGTCGGAGTGTGTGACGGTGAATGTTATGAAGGGTGTTGGTTGTTGAGATGGGCAACAAACCGGCTCAGAGCCGCTCGTCCATGTCGCCACAGCATGATTATATCATCAATGTAGCGCTTGAAAATGCAGGGCTGAAATTCAGCAGAAGACAGGGCTGCATTCTCAAGCGCTGACATGAAAATAATGGCCAATGGCGGGGCCAGATGGTTGCCCATGGCGATTCCTTTCAGTTGTCGGCACTGCTGATTGTCGAACTCGAATATGTTATTCGTCAGGGTGAATTGGAGGGTATCTTGGACATCCTTCACACTCAGACCCAACATATCGACATCCTCGCGGTGCTCCTCCAGTAATGTGGTCGCAGCTTCAATGTCGTCAGCGATCGGGATGTTGCTGTAGAGGCCGACCACGTCGAGGGACACCAACAGGTAGTCTTCATTCAATTTCTTGTGTTTCGTGAGCTCTTGAATGCATGCCAAATTAGAGGGCAGGTGCGAGGGTACAAAACGCAACAACTGGTTAAGGATTCGGTCCATCAGCACAGATAGGTTGCTAGTGGGTCCATCAGAACAGCTTACAACTGGTCGGACTGGCAAACCTTCCTTATGGTCTTTTGGAAGACCATAGAATTGTGGCATTCGACTATAACTTGGGTTCACAGCATCCTCAAGCTTCTTCGGAATCTTGCCATTGATGTTGTCTCTAGCTTCTCGTAGCTATTGCAGTCTTCGAGCAGGCTGCTGCACTTGGAAACGTAATTCACCTTGGACATAAGGACGAAACCTTTGGACTTGTCAGAAGGCTTGATGATAATGTCGTCGTTGTCTTTAAGGTCTTGAAGATGCTGGCTCTGCTCTCTGGTGAGCTTCAGGTTAGTACTGTCCCGACTCCGTCTGTCTTGCTCCTTCTGAAATATGTCTACTACATCTTCCTTCAACCTTCGTATGTTTGCTTCCTCTCCATGGCTCAAGGATGGCGGCTGTTTCGACGGTTGGCAAAGCCTTCTCAGCTTCAGGTCGTCATCTAGGCAGGTATTCGGTGTTGGGACTTCCACCTGCGAAGCAGACTCGGGTAGATCAGCTTGTTGGTCTGTCGGATAATCCCTGCGTATGTCAGCCAGCAGTTCTTCAGATCTCTGTGCCTCCAAACTGGATGTCCGGATGCTTTCCATCCAGCGCCTCCCGAACGCCATACGCTCAATGGCCACACCAACATCCCTGACCGTTGAATCTGTTAGGGTGGGCTGGAAAACGAAATTAGGTCCGTGAGCCAAGGTGCTGACGGCCACGTCCGACACGCTCTCCGCAACGGAAGGGTCCACGACAACTCTCTTTACCCGAGGAAACCGCTCGCTGTCTCGGGTTGCAGCACCCTTCCGGACAGATTCTCCACTGCTTGTCAGATTGCAAAGCTTAAAGTCGAGGCGCTCGCTATCATCCTCACCAACCCGGTCCGCAATCACTCTCGCGTGGCCCTTTATCCAGTAGCTCTCCGGCGGGCTGAAGGAGGTCTCAACCTCCTCCTCCAAGACCTTTATGTCCCTGTGTAGTGAGTCAATGATCTTGTACTTGTGGCGGATCAATCGAGACAGGACACACCGATGAAATCCCTGCTCAAGTGTTGCAATTCCAGCAGCGTTCTTGAACAGCGAATTGGCTTTTGAACAATTTCTCACAAACGGTGGCACAACACCGAGACGACGACAATTAGAGAGGAACCGCACTGACACACGAGTCTTCACAAGAGTCACCCGCGCCTTCACCAACCTCCATGGAGTTACAAGCGACGGACCATCGCCATTTAGAAAGGAATTTGAAGTTTGGTTTGGAGAGATTTGGAGAGATTTTAATTTTTGTTTTGTAGCCAAGGACTTTGTGCGGCTGTGGGCGGTGAAAAATTTAAAATCAATATTATTCTTATTCTTGAATCGTTTGCAGGCAACCTGCCTACACTCAAGAGAGCACTACATTTCAAACAAATCCATTGGTATCGTTACAACGTTTCGATCTTTATGACCATCATCAGGAATGAAGTGGACATGGAAAGAACAGCAGAATAAAAAAAGGAGGCAAGCAAGCAAAGCGCGGTACATAGTGACAGCGCGCGTAGAGAAGTGCAAAGCACGTCATGGCGGGTGAGACGTACCGCAGCCTCGCCACCAGGACAAAAGAACACAGTGAGCGGCACCGCGCTGGGTGAGCATTTCGCAGCCAAGCATGCATCTGAACCATTGCCATTGGGAGCAACGGCCTTCTCAGGTATCCGGGTTCTTGGGTCTGAGCGTGACCGCCCCAGGAGGAGGATCCGAGAGGCCATCAACATCAGGGAGCGATCCCCGAAATCAACAACAACAGTGGTTGGGACCTGCTATAACACCACCTGTGCGGCCTTATTGGCTTCTAGCATGCGTTCTGGGTGATACACTCGGCACATGTGTGTGGGCAATGCATGCCTTCACGTACCTTGGCTACCACCTTTTATGGAGTATGCTCTTCCACATTCTACCATGGTCTGCAATCATCTTTCTTGCTCAGCTACCTTTACTACTTGGCTTTAGCATCATGCATGGGATGTAGTTGTACTGACCGGTGCGCTTTGCCGGCATTGAATACAGCTGTTATTAATTGCGTGTGGCGCGGGGCTCTACACACCTCACTGGTGGTGTGAGACTAGAACTGGGCTTGTATCACTGCTGTAGCGCAGTATTTACTTTCCTCGCCGTTTGTGCTTGTGTTGTCATGTATATGTAGTAATGCACACCCGCCATGACGTGCTTTGCACTTCTCTACGCGCGCTGTCACTATGTACCGCGCTTTGCTTGCTTGCCTCCTTCTTTTATACTGCTGTTCTTTCCATGTCCACTTCATTCCTGATGATGGTCATAAAGACCGAAACGTTGTAACGATACCAATGGATTTGTGTGAGATGCAGTGCTCTCTTGAGTGTAGGCAGGTTGCCTGCAAACGATTCAAGTATAATGAAGCTGCGTGAAGCGTCCTTTAAAATTTTGAAATTATTATTATTGTAGAAAGGAAAAGGAAATAATTATTATAGATACGAGTTGAGAGAAACTCTCCATCACTGTAACCAGATACTATATACATTCAGTAAGTGCAACAACTAGGCACAAAACTGACAGAGTACTGAGACATTCTGCTGTCGGCTGTCGGTTAGCGCTACTCGTATTATTATTATTATTATTATTATTAATTTTCTTATTTTGTTAGGGAATTCCCAACAGGCAATGCTGCCTTTTTACTGGGAACCCTACTGGTTTACACTGGCATTGAGAGGAACATGCCCACCGGAGAGTTTTACTCGAAGCAGAGGTGCGTGTAATCCTGTCCCTATCAGGCATTGGGGTCAATAGAGTATGTACATTTTTTGCCTGATTTGAAATTTCTTTTTCACAAGCCCATTGGCTGGAGTTGCACTCTCTTGCGGGTTGTGTTCACCAGACCTTTTGGATCGAGCACTACCCCAACAGCAGTTCCTGCATGCCTGTGTTTTGTTTGTCTCTGTCTCTGACTTCCAGCCTCTCTGTCTGTCTGTCTCTTTCTTTCTTGCTCTCTCTCTCTCTCTCTCTCTCTCTCTCTCTCTCTCTCTCTCTCTCTCTCTCTCTCTGTCTCTCTCTCTGTCTCTCTCTCTCCTCAATGCCGAGCAAACGGGTGGCAGGTCATTTCTTTTTCAGTTGAGGTAGGTGTGCGTGGTTTCATCCCGGACTCTCTTCGGAGGGCTCTGAAAGCGCTTGGGTTTTCTAATCGAAGAATAAAATATATTTGTAATTTGTGCAGTAAGACGTCTCTGCGAAGCAGCTACATCATCTGGTTGCGACGTCAACAAAAACACTGGTCGGAAGATCCACTTTTCTGAGGTACTGTATGCGGGGCTCCGTTTATTGAGTTGCGCTGAAATGTATCCCTTTAGGCCACCTAGAATTAATTCTTTGTTTCGGGACACTTCACTCATCCGTACCAGGGTCGGTCGGTCGGGTTTATTTTATATTTTATTTTGGTTACTGCCATGTGCATACATAATGAAGTACATGTACATGACACAAGTACAACTGTGCATATCGAATATCCAAGCTTTTGTCCATCAAGCCAGTCGATCAAATTATTTGACTGCAGACGATCCAGCTCAGTCCCATCACTGCATCAGGTCCAGGTCTCCTCCAGGACCAGATCTTGGCCTCGCTGACAAACGAGCCTGACGAGCAGCTCCCACCAAAACTTCTGTCAAGGAGCAACACGATGGTGGAGCTGATGCTGTTTCAGGATGGTCCTAACCAATTGCGGATCGGGGATAAATGAAGACGACGTCGTCACGAAGCGCTGCATCATGTCAGTTGGCTGCTTCCGAGGTCGACGTCGATGTCTGGACTGCTGAAATTCGATCGTGATCCGCGGATCAGGAATGATCTGCACTAAAATTGTTTTCGACGCGAAAGGCCCTCCCGTCGTGTTCCGTCCAGGCGCGGTCCAGCACGAAAGCACACATGCACACGTAGGTCTACACGGTACCGCTTTCATGTTCAGAGCATGTATGATGTACATTTCTTGCATGCGCAATAAAAAAACATTTTGCAGTCAGGTAAAAAAAGACGGTCGGTCGGGTGACCCGAAACAACGAATTAATTACTGTTGAGATACCGAATTCAAATAAATCAATACCATACCATACCATACCAATTCTGGGTGGCCTTATCTTATTATTTCTTTTCTATAATTTCCCCATATGAGTTCCTATCAGTTGCTGTGAACACCTTGAGTGGAGAGCGCTTGTTCGAGCGTTGAACCGGGTTCTTAATTAATCCACCATACCCAGTTCGCAAGGCTGGGCGGGGTTGTGAACAGGCTTTCATTTCATCTTTTCTTATTATTAAGTATTATTTCTGCTTTTCATCTCATTACAAAAATTCTGCGCATTTTTTCTCCATCTGCGCATAAAATCTAGACTGACAACCTGCTTGTTAAATCATGCACCTGCTTTCAGGCGTAAAAACCCTGTTGTAGAGGTCCTCATTTGTTAGACTTACCTGTCTTTATAAATGTAACCTACTCTGTCTCTCTCTCTCTCTCTCTCTCTCTCTCTCTCTCTCTCTCTCTCTCTCTCTCTCTCTCTCTCTGTCTGTCTGTCTCTGTCTCTCTCTGTCTGTCTGTCTCTCTCTCTTTCTCTCTGTCTCTCTCTCTCTCTCTCTCTCTCTCTCTCTCTCTCTCTCTCTGTCTCTCTCTCTCCCTCTCTCTCTCTCTCTCTCTCTCCCCCTCTCTCTCTCTCTCTCTCTCTCTCTCTCTCTCTCTCTCTCTCTCTCTCTCTCTCTCTCTCTCTCTCTCTCTCTCTCTCTCTCTCTCTTTCCCCATCCTCTCTATTCTCTCTCGTAATGTTCTATACTTCTCCTATACAGGTAGACTCCCTCTTATTCAAAAACGGTATAATTCGAACATTCCGTGTAATTCGAACTTTTTCGTCGTACCGATCTTCTGCAAGTCACTTCAAGTCAAAATCGAATGCATAATTCGAAGTACGAAAAGTGTGCCGGTTGGATAATTCGAACCCAGTCTTCGTACAGAAGAGCTGTTTACAGTACATTGGCTATGTCCTTTGAACGCTTATTTCGAAGTGAGATTGAGTTGCTATCCTTGTAATTCGAAGTTCATTCTTTTCTCCTTCTCTAGCCAAGAGTAGCTAAAAAATCGATCGATGGTCCGCTGCAGGATCGACTATAGCGTTCAAGAAACCCACCTTCTCTCGAAATTTGATTCAAGCCCGTGCGAGGCAAATTGCAAAGGTTTGATTGAAGACGACTTCTTCCAGGTGGCTGACTCTCTTCACGGATCTCGATGGCCTTTCTTACCGCGCCAGCTCGTGCGCGGAGATGTTGGCGCACAACAACACTATTGTCGTAAATATAGTCTATGCCTTTGCTCCACTTCCGTTCTTCAGAACGACGTGCTGCTGTCCAACGGCCTTTCATGACACGGATTAGGCAGCGCAGTTCTTTTCCGTTGAAATTGTTTCAGGAAAGCTGCAGTGACTGACAACTTCTTCACTAGAAGATGAAGATAATGTCAGAATGATTTTGTGTCGATCCAGTGTTTTGATAATCCGTTGTACATGACCGCGTACCGGTACGACCACCTATGTTTCGTTGATGCAAATAAAAATGTGCAAACAATATTCGGCATGCGATTTCAAGCATTTTGATATACATATCAATGCATGGGGCTGCATTTGGATAATTAGAAGTTCCGGATAATTCGAAGTTAGGGCCTGGCAATTTGAGGTTCGAATTAAAGGGAGTCTACCTGTAATTGTGATTTCGGCTTTGTGTATGCATTGTGCTGCATTTGTGCATTTTTGTATTTGCAGAAACGATCAGCAATACAATATCACGGTGATGTAACAACGTTATGGAGCACGTGAATGCTCTCTGTGTGTTGCCAAGCAAGGAGAGGTTGGCACCAGCATCATCCCATCCATGGAGGAGTGTAGTCATCGCACACATTCAAGCCGAGACAACTACATCTGAGCAAAGATGGACTGGTCTTCACACCAATCATTCTGAATATGCTAGATCAGGACGACACAGACAAGACGACAGCGGGCATCGTAGACCAAAGTTCGGAAACCTATGGCTGTGCACTTTCCAGAAACGATTGGCATTGCGACAACGCGGTGGTATCATGAAGTTCCGGAGTGCGTGAATGCTTATGTGCATTTCATGAGGAGGCTTGCAGCAGCACTACCAGAGCCATTGAGGAGTGCAGTGACATCATACAGCTATTCCCGAGCAAAGGATGAAATAGTCTTCACACAGGTGGTTCGGAATAAGCTTAGGTCAGATGAAATGCAGCAAGCACAGCAGACGTTATGATCCGACACGAGGAGATGCCACACGGTCATGACGAGATTGGCACGCAGACCAATGGAAGTGCAGGTGAGCCACCATGGCAAGGGTTCTAAGAAGAGAAGTATGGTGATCTCTATAGGACATCACTACAGCCTAGGAGACACCAGCAGTGGTTCATGACTCGTCTTGTGCATTCTTATCAGCACAGTGTCGTCATCATGATTGGCACGAGCAGCGGCATCAGGCGACGCTGTGATAGCATCAGCATAACAGTAGCAGTGGAAACTGCAGCAACAGGCAGCACAGAGACGTAGTCAGCAGCAACAGCAGCAGTAGCAGCAACAATAACAGCAGCAACAACAATAGCAGCAGCAGAGGGTAACGCAGAAATGAGATCAGCAGCAGCAGTATACCCAGTAGCTGAAGAAGAAGCAGAAGCGTCAGCAGAGGGTAACGCAGAGATGAGATCAGCAGTCCTGTAGCAGTGGCAACAGCAGTGGCAGCAGACGTTTCGCCGTGACCAACAGCACCGAGAGCACCAGTACATCAACAAAAATCTTCAGCAATACTTTCATTGATTATAGGCTTCTCGCCACTGTTGATGCAATATTGCTCCTAAACCCATTCAGTGTTGAACCTAGCTCAGCATGTTTCCACTGCCACATCTACCAGCATCTGCAGTAGCTACAACACCCGGACACCGTCCACTAGTAAACTGGGAACTTACGGTACGTGCAAAGATTGCCCTGGCAGAAGATACATGTATGTGCGCATCGCTTCAGCCCTGCTGTTGCCTGAATTCATCACGCTAACTGACAATGAGCAACTGTGCCCTGCATAGCATCACTGGTGTTCAAGAGGAGCTACAACCACCGGTGAAGTAGCTGTGAGTTGCCGTGCGTCAATCGTGATCTCAACAAAGAAAGCGGTAAGAGAAGGTGCGTTTCAGAACTCAAGTTCCAGAGAATATGCTTGGTCTGCCTCGAGTGTAGTGCAAAGTACTCATTATTTGACTTATATTTTCGGATTAGAGTAACAATTCCTGCTGGAATAGTGCTCATCGTGTTTGGCACTGTGCTCTGGAACACAGTCCCCGGAGAATGCCGTTACACACAGCCCCTGCTTCTCTGCGCCCATCTTCCGCAGCATGGACAATGCGTACCATGCACCAGTCCTAACCCCAATGGTATTTTTCAGGGTCCGTCTCTCTGGTCGTTAATCCCGTTCTGTTACTGTCTGTTGCAAGATTGCAATGCAAGGTGTTCCGACACTACCGCAGTATATTCACGTACTGAGTACATCTATTGCCTCAATTGCCAAGTCCTAAAATGTGTCTGCAGATGGTTGCTTTCAGGCACAGCTGAAATTTCATATAACTATGCACTCCACCCTTTCGTTCAAGTTGTAATCTTACCTGACGATATTTCGCTACTCTAGCTCCATGCTTTCCCCACCTGCCACCATTGAGCACGGACATATCAACGTGATCAAATAACCAGCCGTTGTACCATTTACACGTATTGCATGCACCTATAAATTGTTTTATTTGTCCCCATAGTCAACCTTTTTGTTGTCCATCTTTCCATGGCATTGTGCTGAGTCTCTCTGAAAAAGAAAATAAATAATCGGCACTGGCCTAGAGGTACAGGTAAGTAGTATACTGGGTTGATGATGATGATGTCTGCTGCTGTGTTAGAGTGTGTGAGAATACAATGTCAGTTATCTGTGTTGTGTGCATGCAAAGCAGGACCAGACACTGGTTTGCTGGTTTAGTGGCTAATGCCTACTACAGGCTGTGGATGACAGTCACGTGCTGGTCGTCACCTTTTAGCACGTCGCCTATTCTTGTACTGATTGTCATGGGTGTGTGTGCATGGTGGCAGTGAGGCTCTGTTCTCTGTCTTGCTGTTATGCCAATCTTGGCATTCTGCTTTACTGACTAGCTTCCAGGTTTCCTGTGTGCAACTCTGTTGTGCATGGCTACTGTTTTCAACTCTGTTGTGCATGGCTACTGTTTTCCACCATCTTAACAGTGGCAGTATGCGCTCTCTCAGCTATGCCGTAATGCTGGTAGATCAGACTAGTCTGTGCAGCCATTGGCAATTCACAGCTGTGTATATGAATATCGTCTGATGATCGCGCAAGTGTGAAACTTGAGTGGCAGCAATAGACTTTGCTCCACGATATCTGTCAGGAAGCTCTTCTGTCCTTCTGGGCATTGAGCACTGTATATGAACAGTGGAGTAACCTTTGTCACAGCTATAATTCTATAATAATTATTGTTGCTCAATGAAATCCGGCCAAGCTACCGAATGGCGCACTGAGGGCTGTATGGCATGCACCCAATGCTACCTTTAGTCATGCAGTCTGATTTATTCGAGCAGCACTGTCGATAGATCCACTAACCACCTCTCTTTTCTCTTACAGCATTGAAGGCATTAGTGGCAGAAACATAACAGATTCTGCTGAAGTCAGAAAAACTATACCATCTGATCAACAGTGATGATAAGAACAGCCACGATGACTACAGCCATGAAGATAAGCAACAGCACTGCATGTCAAAAACAGAATATGTTTTGATACTGCATGAGGAAGGAGAAACAAGCCGGAACCTCATACAAAGAGTTCCATCAGCAAGCCGAGAAGAAAAATCTAAAATTCTGGCCATCCCAAACCCCGACCACCATCCCCTACTGGAATGATTACTTTTATAACCCATCCTAGCTCTGAACTTCACACCTGAAATGACTGTGGTCAACCACCTTCAGCCAATCAGAGTTCAGCAAGTGTTTCCTTGGCTTGCTGATTAGCCTATCATGGCTCTGAACTTCACACCTGAAATGACTGGTCAACTACCCTCAGCCAATCAGATTTAAGCTGTGTTTTCTTCTCGGCTTGCTGATAGCTGAACTCTTGCTGTTTCTGCTTTAGAAGGAGAAAATCTAAAATTGAGTGAAGTTTTAAAGTAGAACACTTGATTTTGCCTTCTTCTGGACAATTAGAAGAGAAATTTTGAAGAGCTTTCTTCTTGCCATCTTGTCCTGCAAAAACAAACAAAGAATAATAATTATAAGTCATCATTACAGTGGGTCCAATGTTATTAGGCATTTTGCCTGTTTTGATTTCCATTATAAATAAAGTATACGAACAAATAAATTACTTCAAAGCATACACAGTCTACAGGGAGGGTCAAGTGCATTGCGCTTGCATGTACTTTGAAGTAAAATGACCTGTATGATTGAGATACAGCCGAAGGGACAATACAATGGAAGACATGCCAGTACACACAACAATGGTGAGATGGTGACAAACACCTGATCACAGTGGTGAGTAGCACACAGGCGCGTACCCAGGAGAGGGGGGGGGGGGGGGGGGGAGGGGTTCCACAGGGTTCGGACAAACAAACCCCCCTTTCTGTCAGCCGACTGAACGATTTATTTCGTCTTCCGTCTTTTGTTGCCCTGCGCGTGGGCGTCGCGCCGTGTTGTCAACGAGTCGTCGGGTTGCAGATTCTACGACTACTTGACATCTCCATGCACTGTGCATGCGCTGAAACACGCGACGCGCGTGGCTATTTACTACAGCGGACGCCGCGTAACCCCCCCCCCCCCCCTTCCCACCGACCCTGTGTACGCCCCTGGCATACCTATAGTGGCTGTGCAAAAATATAATCGCGGCGGTGAGTTAGCTAGTGTGCAGGAACTTGGACTACTCGCAATCGTTATACTGAATTGGCTGGTCGTGTACTGCCGTTGACATGGGGAATCCCGTCGCACGTCTAGCGGCCCCAGGGCGCTGGCCATGCAGCCGTGGGTGAGCGGTACACATGCATTCTTGCGCTGAAGCGTGCTGGTCGCATCGGATCAACACACGCACTGTGTGCAACGTTCTGTGCGCGTTGAGGGCGCCGGCCCCGGTCATTCGACTGGATTTCCATGTCCACGACAGTATTAAACAGAATAAAAGCACACACTGTGTAATTGTGTATACATACCTATTCGTTGGGAACGCAAATCACAACCATAACTATGACTCCAAATTTCCATTATATTATACACAAAATCGCACAGACACCTACTCGCTTATAGCCATAAATACGCCGCGTGGGTCGCCCAGGGAAAGGGGAGAGGTTGAAAAGGAGCCGTGGACAGTCGACTCACTTGGTTATTAGTCAACATGGAGATAATTACCGTAAAATAGCTATGAACAAAAGTAAACTCGCGCTCATGTCAAACAACAAAGTAGTAAAAGGTTTCGAGATTCCACTGACAAACGTGACAAGAAAACGTTGTGGAACAAAACTTTCCTACTTTGTTGTTGGACGTGAGCGCGAGCTTAATTTTGTCCATAGCTATTTTACAATCGGTTATTGACCCACTCTGGGTGGGCTTGGACAGAGTCCCACCTACGGCAGTGGATGACGGCAAGGTGTTCGCCAGCACCAAGGTAACTGTTCCGCGATCCGACTGCGTTTGCCCTCGCCGCTAGTAGTGCGGGCAATCATTGATACTGTGTATCCTAGATCGGCTTCCTTAGGACCATAAACTACACAATAGTTACAGTGAGACCTGTCTAAGAATTACCGCTCAAGGGACCTTCAAAACGTGGTCTCTGTTACCAGGTGGTCTACGTATCCAGGGTCATTCGAGTGAACATAGCATCCCTTCGTCCTGGTAACAGTGGTCTTCTGGGACAGGTGGTCACCTTATCTGAGTAGTCGCCTTGACAGCTTTTACTGTACATGGCATTAAAAGCCTGAAAAGGTCCTTTGGTCACTAGGTATGCACAATTCAAACAGTATTATTAACCCTTTATTGGCCGATTAAAATACAAAAAAGCCCACGCAATCGCCAAACCTGTACCTAAATTGGACGTAACTTTAGTTTGCATTGGACAAATTCAACGATCTTGTTCATCCTGGAAAAGGCCTTGGCGAGAGGAGCGCAATTACACTTGACTCCACGGGATGCACTGGCCCAGCGCTGCAAGCCGGGGAAGGCCCACCAGCGCTGGTCCCACGCTCGAGATCTATCTCTATCCACCATTTCACTCCTGTTGCTCGTATGAAACTCAAATATTTTCGTAGAGACTCCCGGGAACCTGCTTTTGAAGTATTTAGTTGAATCAGTGTAGTCTTGTCAACAGGTGACGTAAGCAGGGAAAATCCCGGCCGTTGATCCTCGCATCGCGCTCTGAGCGCAAATTTCCCGGGACCAACATTATGAGTGCTATAGCTCAAGAACCGCTCTTTGTATTGCTTTGAAAATTGTTCAAGGCGACATCTGAGAGTTTTCTATTCGACCTACATATTTCGATCTCTCCGAAAGACCGAGATTTGACCAAGTTACGATAATTTCAAAATGCCTACCCCATCGAACATCGGTGTTCGATCACTGTATAGGCCAGCCAATAAAGGGTTAAGAGAATGAAAAGGTGGTATGCACAATTCATGTAGAAAGTTTACACCTGGTAGTCAACTAAATTGGCCGGTACAGTGCACCTTCAAGCAGCCGAGCCTAATGGCACACGTACGTACGAACACCCCCCCCCCCCCCCCACACACACACACAGGCGACCACACAGGCATGCTGACTTAGCACAACTCGCCTAACGTTTGAAGGCGTGCAGCACACATACCTTTCTTTGTCACATGCGCTGCAATGAGTCTGGCAGCAGGGTAGTGAGAGATTAGTGCTCCCTGGCAGCGGGACTGCTGTGCCTAGAAGAAGGACACCTCATTGCTGGGCAAGTTAACATACACGTGCGCACATACATACATATACACACACACGCACACCCGTGCACACACACACGCATGCACACACACACACACACACAGTCACAATTTAAAAGAACCTAAACACAGGCAGAAGAAAAGACCCCCCCCCCCCACACACATGCACGCACGAATGGGGCCGAAATGTGTTTTAGCCCTGGCAGACCGAAATTTGCATGGGCCGAAATTTGTAGACTGACAGTACACACATGCTCACGCAAGCACCCCCACACTTGTGGCGTGCGCGATCACTGGGGCGTGCAAACTGTCGGTCGCAGGTGTAGCAGGTGACGGGAGGGCGATGCCGGGCATCTACCGGTGCTGAGTACGCCGAGCGCCAGGTGGAACGCGACTCGCATTCAGCTCGCCATTCCCCCTCGAAGCCGCGAGAACGAACACACAAACACACACATATTCTGACGACGGTGGATAACCTCCCTCCACTCTGAGCGGTTCTGAGCAGTGTCGAGCCATTGCCGCAGGCCCTGCCCTGCCGCAGGCCGTTGTTGACGTTGATGTTGGACGTGAGGCCGCCACCCGCATTTTCAACTGCATGGACTCATGCAGTGACTTTGATGATGTTCAGCATTGTGGGCAGGACGTCGAGCTTCTGCGGGAGGGCGCAGAGCGCTAGCCTCGGGATCGAGTCCGATGCCTTCCTCAGGTCAACAAACTGAGCATAGAGTTGCCCATCATGCTCAATAGATTTCTCCACCAACTGGCGAGCAACATGGACCATATCCATACAGCCACGAGCCCTGTGGAAACCGCACTGTGATTCTGGAAGGACGGACTCGGCGATAGTCTGCAGTCGGTCCTGGATTATGAGGGCGAAGAGCTTGCCGACAACGTCCAACAAGCTGATTCCCCTCCAATTGTCGCACTGGTGTATGTACACACGCACGCACACACATGTACGAATGCACGCGCACACACATGAGCGCACACACACACACACACACACACACACACGCATGAACGAACACACACACGCGCGCACGCACACACACACGGTTTCGGTGCTTACCTGCTGTCAAGTACGACGGGAGGCAACAGAGTACATCGTATTCCCTCAGCAGCAGCCAGTCTGCCAGTCAAGCATCTGTAGTCTGAAGCATTGAAAAGATTGACAGGAACAGTCATCTCAGTAAACAGTCAGACCTCGTTTAACCGCACACATCCGTTTTCCTCACATATATCCGGATAAGCAAGGGAACTGGATAATCGTACACACATACTGTATGTATGTATGTATTGTAGGGCTTTTACACGGCCGCTTGTTGGGAGACTTATCCCCTCTCTCCTGACTCACTTGTGAGGTCTGCATTCGACACTGAGGATATGTGGGCGAAGTGGCAGCCCGTCGATGCGAATGTATTTTCTTGATGTGTTCCTAAACACGTCGGGTGATGCGGTCACGACTCCGGCTAACTTTACCTGTTTTAAACCCGGCAACAGGTAAGTACAATGTGTAATGAATTCATGACAGCATGTCCTCCCAGCCATATAACATGCTCCCAATTCGTTTTACCCATACAAGGGGCTTGACTATCGAAAACAAACTACAGCCAGTGCACCCACAGGGACCGAAAGTTCGTACTACACGCTGGTTTTGTTCAACTCATGCTTGAAATTAGTTCGTCTTCACCAAAGTTCGCCGTACAGGAGTTCGTCGTAAACGAACAATTTTGACTTGATATTATGCCTGGCCAACCATAGGATTGGCCCTACTTCGTACTAGTGGAAAGTTCGTCTTACCAGCGTTCGTAACGAGGTTTGACTGTACATTGACCGGAGCAGATACACACACACACACACACACACACACACACACACACACACACACACACACACACACACACACACACACCCCTTTCTCGGATTTACGAATCACATCCACTCGCTCGCTGAGGGAGAGACAGCGACGCTTCTTGCTGGAGCATGTAGCCATGTTCCATCTCATGCGAAAGCCGACTACACTCCAACGAGGCTGCCGTGAACGTCGCTGTTCTGTTTTGTAGCCTACAGGAAGGTTGTTTCACTACAACTGCGTGCGTACAAGTACATGTGTACGAAGTCTACGGTAAGTGTGGTGTGCATACCTACGACGACCATGCCCGTATATGCGTATGCGACACGGCAGTAGATCGACACTGCCTGGATTTGAGAGCTACACTACAGCGCAGCCTCGGTACAGGCCAGGGCCAGTCGATCGCACTTGCAAGACAGAGCATTTTCACACATTGCAGTTGACAGCGCACTGGCAAGTACAGTTTCGCACCTGGCTGAACCTGGGGCGCGGTCGCTTACAGCAGATTTGAATGCAGCCACCGTGCATGAAATCGCGGCCGCTGGTCGCGCCCAGCAAATGGTCGCTCTGGACAGATCAGTTTGTATGTGAAACCGTTGGTGCACGGAAAATCGGTCGCTAACGGTAGATGGTCGCCTACAGCAGAGGTCGCTAACGGCAGATTTGACTGTACAATATCCCGAGTTACTGACGGTCGCAGTGCTTTGTTAATGTGGTGACCGCCAAACGCGCCAGAATGATAGGCCTGCCGATCGATCTTGTGCTTCACCAAAACTGGCTCAAGGGATGAAGAGCAAGGACCATTCTTGACCTTAGCACTCACAAGCTGCTCCTCTAAATGAGCGATGCGACCGCTGATCTCATTCAAGTGCTGCTGCTGCTGCTGTTGTGTTGCCCAGTGCTGCTGTAACTGAGCTGCAAACGCTGCATGTTGTGCTTCTGCCGTATGATCTGCTTGCACCGCTTGTGCTGCATTCAGCAATGCCCTTTGCAGCTGCGTCTGTGCGACATAAAGCTGCTATTACTGTTGTGCATTCTCTGATAGCAGTGCCCATAGCTGCTGCTGTTTCTCGGCTACTTCCTTGAATGTTGCGCTTGATGATTCTGTGTTGATCGATCTTGCCAGCATGAGGTCATGATGGCTTCTGCATCTCTGATCATAGCCTCAAAGAGCAGAGGAAAAATACCAAGATCAAGGTGCAGTATTTAAATGCACACATCGCGTATGTCTATCGGGAGGATTTGGGGTCTGGTGACATTGTTGTACTGTTTGGCATTTTGAAGTCTGGACCCAGATGCCACAAACCGACCATGGTCTTCGCTCAAAGTGGCAAGGGTTCTGTCAGGGAAGGGAGTGTCATGTGCCTTCTGCATGTCTTTCTTGGTGGTCAGACAGAACAGACAGGGTCTGACATCACTTGCTCCTGACAGCCCATACAACTTCATCATGAAGTCGTAATCTCCGAAGAGGCACTCTTTGATGGTCCTACTCTTCCAGGTCAATCCATGAAGGTTGACAATTTGCTCAGCGTATGGCTGAAACATCGTTGCCAAATTGGAGGGCGAATCCTTTCCAGCAAAGATCAAGAAGGGAACAGTGTTGCTCAGGGAGTTGGGGTGCAAGAGACGTTCACGAACTGGAAGCAAAGCTTAAACGAATGACCGCCATGGTCTCCTCCAATTTTCACATCTTCTGGCAGTGTCCCGTTCCACAGCAACGTGCCCCCAGTCTCGTTCCGCCCAACGAAGTGCAGAATGAGTTGCACGAGGTCCTCGAAGCCCACAACCGGACTCATCACGACGATGTCAGTGCTATTAAGAACAGGAACTTCTTCAGCGACGAGGGGGAACGGGAGCTCTTCCAATAACTGCTTCTGCATTTCCCGTTCCGACTTTAGTGGCAGACTGCACAGCTTGGGATAGCGGCGAAGCTTTTGCAAGCCATTCCAAGGGAGCTGGAGGTCAGCTTTGATGGTAAGTCTAATCCCCTTGGTCAAGCCTTCTGGGAGCAAGCCGGCCTCTCGCAGAAGATCCTCGCGTCGTGCCGTATGCAACGATTGCAGTGCGTGAATGCTCTGTACATCCTTCCCTTTCGCTCCCGCACATGCTGCTTCCTGGATGGTACTGAGAAGGCTTCCCTTCTCCTCAGAGTGGCAGAGGAGGCATCTGCAGATGACACCCTGGCAACAGGAACTTTGTGCCGCATGGAGTTACTGCCTCGTGTACGCTGTTCAACGCGACCATCATCGGATCGAGCTTCGTTAAGCTTCGTGAGGAGCTTCGACCCGACATCGCCGTGAGAGCACTGGGCAGTGCGCCCAGGACACTATCAACTGTGCTGGCGACAAATATCGTTTGGGCGGCGGGTTCTTGCCGAAGGCACAATCCGCTACATGCTGCGCCAATGTTCCGAGGGGTACTCTTGCTGGGCAGCCCTCAAACGCTAACTCACCAACATTGTCACAAGACACAACAAGCTCAGGTAGTGTGCTGCCAGCAAATGCGTGTGATTGTTTTTAAAAGTTGACAATAACGCCATACGGCTACTTCCTCCGCGTCATCGAAATTGTCGCAGTTTGACTAGTGACTTGTCACTTGTTACTGACAACTCCATAAGCTAAGCCATTCAGAACATATTACACAGAATGATAGTCTGAAGCCTAGAGTAACGTTCCAGGACAGTTGGACTGAGAGTTTTCATGCAGAGATGAAGTCCTCGTCGTCGCTGATGTCAATGGACGCAAAAATATCGTTCCGAAATATTTCAAGGAAGGTTGAAAGTTGGTCGCGCCTCATCTCAAACGCTTTGACTTTCTCCACAGGACAAGAGCTGCTATGCTTGTGGTCTGCTTGCTCTGGATGATTTCTACTTCACCACCAACGAAGCCTAGTAAGAATACACGATCAGTGCGAGGTCGGTTGATTACCGTCGGCGGAATCACCTCGATCTTGAAATGAACTTTTTTTAGCCGTGGCATGCCCATTTATTTTAGCTGTGTGGTCACAGCTCATGCAGGTAAGTGTACTATCACGTCCAGCGCGCCCTCTTTTTCAGCATCACTGCCCGGCCCTGATTCACTGGTATACCATTGTCGTGCTTACCACCAGTGATGGCACGGTGTGCTGGAACGCTGAAGAGCGACACTGGGAGATATCGTGGAAGTGGTCAAGCAAAAATGAGCCTGAGGGTTTCATTGGCTCCGGTGTGGCTCAGTATTCGCGGAGCGGTCTGTCGGAATCGCAAGAGAATACCTTCTGTGATGAAGTAGACGGATGGATTGAGAAGGGGTGGCTCGTACCTCATGATCCAGCGGTCCACGGAGAACCGGCTGCAGTACTTCCCCTGCTAGCAGTCAAACAAGAGCACAAGTTGACGACGCCTGTGAGACCGTGTTTGGACTACACTGCTTTGAACAAAGAGCTGGTATCCAACCCTGGTGCTAAAGCACCTGCGTGCCAAGAGAAGCTGCGGCAGTGGCGCGGTGCAGGAGATCCCGATTCATATGCTCTGATTGATATACGGAAGGCATATTTGCAAGTCCGTGTGTGCCCTGACCTATGGCGCTACCAGGTGGTGAAGTGGAAAGGTCAGACGTATGTCCTAACAAGAATGGGCTTTGGTCTGTCAGTAGCACCTAAGCTGATGGATTTGATTGTTCGGTACTCAACTCGCCAGTTTCCGGCTGTCGACAACTATATCGACGATCTATATGTACCCAAGGAGCAGACGGATGCCGTCGTCAAGCAGCTGGCAGAGTATGGACTCCCGACAAAGCCGGCGGAAGACCCGGCGACCGCGCGCGTTCTTGGCCTGCAGTTGAGGAAGGATGACAGCGGTGAGGTCAAGTGGGCTAGGCGAGATGGGCCCCGAACCGCGTTGCCGGACGTGTTGACACGTCGTGCAGTGTACAAGTGGTGTGGAGCATTGGTGGGCCACTACCCAGTTGCGAGCTGGCTTCGAGTGCACTGTAGCTGGTTGAAGCGTCTAACTAGCCTTCTCGGCTTGAAGTATGACGATCCGTTGCCTGACCAGCTCAAGAAGTTTTGCATTGATTTAGCCCAGCGCCTCAGCAGCGATGACCCAGTCGGCGGTGTGTGGCAAGGTCCCGGAAGTGCAGAGGATCCATGCAAAGTCTGGTGCGATGCTTCTGATATCGCGTATGGCGCGGCCTTGGAGTTCAATGGCTGTATCATCGAGGATTGCAGTTGGCTGAGAAAGATGGACGACAAGCGCCACATCAACTTGTCTGAACTGGATGCAGCTGCTGAGGGACTCAACCTCGCAGTCCAGTGGGGAGCGCGGCGAATCCAGCTGATGACCGACTCCAAAACCGTTGCTAGTTGGATCCAACAGCTTCTGACCGACTCCAAGCGCGTGAAGACCAGTGGGTTGCATAGCGTGCTTATCCAACGTCGTCTGCAGGTTATCGAAGAGACCGTGGCACAATTGGGTCTGGAAGTGGAAGTCATCTGGGTTCCGACAGCTGACAACAAGGCCGACCGGCTAACTCGCGTTCCTCAGAAGTGGACGCACTATGCTAAGACCCTGCTGAAAGATGATGTAGCTGCCATGGCCCTGACGGTGATTGGACCTGTGACTTTGGAGCAAGTCAGTGTTGCGCAACAGCAGTGCGCTGATGTCCGTCAAGCCATTGCCCAAGTGGAGAAGGGGGAGCCTGTGACGGTGGAGTGTTACAAGAAGATCGGCGGACAGCTTCTGGTTGACAAAGGCATGTTGTACCGGAGTGTGAAGCTGCCTGTGGAAGGTGGCGTTGCTGTGCCAGTGATACCAGAGTCGCTACAAGGTCAGCTTGTCAGTGCTGTGCACACCAACTCTGGTCATGCCAACTGGCAGACTATGCATGACATGCTGAGAGCTGAGTGCTATTTCCCGTCGATGTCGACAGCTTGCCAAGATTATGTGCGCCGATGCCAGGCCTGTGTCCGAGCAAGCACGAAGCGAGGTCCTGTTGGAGAGCCTGTTCGCCCGGACATCCCAGGAAAGCCTTGGAGTGAGATAGTCATTGACACCGTGGAGCTCGGTATCGATCGCTCAGGGCGGTATCACTGTGTGCTAGTCATTGTCGACGCTTTTACGAAGTGGGCAGATGCTATACCGCTACCTCGTCATGATGCCAAGTCAGTCGCTGAAGCTGTGACCAAGGTTTGCCTGCAGTTTGGCGCGCCTGAAGTCGTAAGGATGGATAACGGAACGGAGTTTGCGAATGCTGTTGTGAGTTCGCTGTTTCGCGTCTTTGGAACTAAGGTGCGCACTGGAGCAGCTTACCACCCGCAGTCACAGGGATCAGCAGAGCGGATGAACCGTACGCTCTTGACGATGATACGGAAGGTGCTTGACCGGTCATCTGATTGGAAGGACGACCTAGAAGTGCTGCTGTTTTACTACCGTACGCGGCCACACTCTGCCACCGGTATTAGCCCTATGGAAGCCATGTTTGGCTGGTTGCCACGTCATCTCATTGTGGAGAAGGATACTGCGGCTGAGTCTCTAAGTGCGTGGGTGACCAAGCTTGCGAACAGGGCTAGCCAGATACGCGACTTGGTGGAAGAGGAGCTGTCACGGCCTGACGCATGCAGCCCCGAGGCCGAGAACCCGTACAGCCGTGGAGACCGTGTGATGATGCTACGCCCACAGCGCCAGCAGAAGAGGCTCCCGCCATACGAGGATGGATGGGTCGTCACTGAGACTGTGACCCCTGTCACCGTGAGAATTCAGAGAGATGCAGGAGGCTTGCTGCAAATGAAGACGGTCAACGTGTCACTTATCAAGCCTGATGTCTCGGACCCGACAGATGGTGTGAGTGCCGATGATACAACAGAAGACCAGCCAGTAGAGCCTGAGGAAGTAATGCGTCTTCGACCCCGTGATGGCCTGAATGCCCCGGCTAGGTTCCGCCAGTAATGCCAACTGGTGGGAACGTGTAATCGAACTATGACTCTGTCTTGTGTAGTTGACATTACTTCTTACCTCTTGTTGCCTGTCATGTGATTCATGTGCATGATTCATCCGGTGGATGCGGCTTGCTGTGGTACGCATGCATGCTCCAGTTCCTTTCTGATACACGCTGCTCTCAGCTCTTTTTACAGGAGTTCTGGGGTGTTCCGATGGCGATGGTTTTGTGAACAAAGTTCTCTCTCTTGTTGTACTGTCGTATGTATTAGCACAAACAATAACCTTCCAGTTAGTATAATTACTTGTCCAGACCTGTGTGGTGTTTTGGCCGTGGTATGCCTGAGACCGGTTGTGGGGGTAATTTTCTAACACCATGGTACGGCACCTGCGCGTGCATCACTAGCACTACATGTAGAGTCTACACGGCTCTTGCAGGTACAATCATGTACTGAGTGTCTCGGCCAGAGCGACAAATTTTATCGCTGTTGCAGGCATTTAGTTTGCTGACCCCTCGATGTTTCTCCAAGCGCTGCCACTTGTTCCACGAAGTCATTCTCACCCCAGCTAAGGTAAAACAGTGATGAGGCTTGAGTGAATGGCCATAAGCACGAGAAATGTGCAGGCTGCAACGCCTGACTGATCTCAGCGAGTCGAAATTACCATCGCAGCGACATCAGCGAAGAAATTGCGTCTAGTTCAAAAATTCCAGCTTCCAATAACAGAAAATAGAACTTTGCCGTCACCCTATACTGATGACCATTGCCTATATCCGATTCCTTACCTGTGGTACGAGTGCTGGTGAGTAAATACCCCGTTTTATATCAAAAGTCAAACTGCGACAATTTCGATGACGCGGAGGAAGTACAAGAAAAGCAAACAGTGCTGGCTTTCAGCCAACCCACAACGCACGAAACGCAGAACAATTTGCTGCAGCACGGCAACTCCACAGCACGATTCACGACAAGGCCGCAAATAGGGCAGACCAACGAACTGGGTACAAACGTGAATCTGTCTGGCAACAGAGGCAATCCACACGCATGGCTTCAAGTACGTAATGAGGAGAGCATTGACGGGTCCACATCGATACCATGGGTGGGTGAGGGTTGAGTAGGCCGTGGCGCCGCACACACGCCGTGAAGGGATTTCGCTTTCTTTTGTCCTCCACCCTTTCTGGCCGCAGCAATAGCCGTGCATGTGCTGCACTTCGTGTCTGTATGTGCACACCATTGGTGCAAAGCTGGCAGTTTCAGACCACAACCATCACTACAGTCCATTTCAAAACTATAGACGCGTAGGGTTTTTGAAATATTTCAAATTTGGCTGGAACTTTTTGAGAAGAGTTTTCGGAATATTGCTCAGAACCGCTCCACAATTACTCTCATATAGTTTCTAAACAATTGGATAACAGACGCCCAATTTTGAAAAATTTATGCACAAAGTGATCACAGATTTTATGTGGTATAGATGCTGGCATAACGGTTTTTGCCTAGGTACGCGTCTATAGTTTTGAAATGGACTGTAATAGCAATAGCACCACTTCCTTCTGTCTTCATGACAGACATCATGCTATCAAAACACGCCTTGCAAAAAATGACTTGGTTGTACATCCTCCTTATCTTCTTCCACTTTCACACCTAAACGCACGTGTAGCATGGCTACTTTATGACACGTAATTTGTATACACATAAATAGTACACCGTAGGAATGCATGGATAGCAGTGCGCATACTCGCACTGCCTGGTCTTCTTCTTCTCCTTGTGAGACAATGAACGAATATTGATAACTACTTACGTAACTACAAGTATGATTGTGCTTTGAGTGCTGAGAGTATACGAGTTACAATGGTGGCAGCGGTGGGATTCGAACCCACGCCATCGAAATGACTGGAGGTATACGAGTTACACACGGAATATTTCCAGGGAGTTATCCTTGACATTATAGGTTACGGCACTCCAAGATTTGTTGCCCTTACGGTGGGTTGGTAATTCACAGCCACCCAAACGACACAGGGAATGCAAATGCTCCACATGAAACGCATAGTCATGATCAGGTTCATCGTAACACTCCACACAACCTAAGCATAACCTAAGCACACAAATTTGCAACTTTTGAAAACAAGCACAATGTACCTTCGCGTAAGTTGCCGAGAACATGGATCTGCCCCTCAGAACACGAAGAACCTTTCTCAGCGTGGAAACGAAAGATTGTCCTACCTGGAAAAACCTCCCAAGGTTATGGCATTTGCTCCAGTGGGGTATACCAGGCGTCTCCAACTCCACTTCGAATCGTTACCAAAGTCTCACTACGTAGCAGCGTTCAACAAGGAAGTCAGCAAAGAAACAGTTCGGCCGGGAAAGGAACAGTTTTTTTCCGGCTCGGTTCCTGCATAGTCCCTACACTACCGCATACATAGAGCTACTTGGTGTGATTCTCGTTGTTCTGTGCAGCTCGGAAGCCTGGGCCTCGATATCTGCATAAGTTGACTGTCGTGTCAAGTATTTCGGGAATTTTTTTAATTTGAGTGCTGGGTTTCCCCGCAATCGCGACTACTGAGCCTGTACTCATACCCACGCTGCTGTGCACTAGTTCACGCGACTGTGAGACAGCCGTGACCTTGGCATGTACATGCACCATGCAAGACTGGTGTATGCCCCCCCCCCCCCCCCCACACACACACACTCCCGCACGGCCGTCGGGTAGCATTCAAACAGACGGAAAAGTCTGCGGCGGCACTATCTTCTCCACTTCCACTCGTGTCATTATGTGAATGGAAAGGTATAGTGCTGCTCCATGAAATCCACCTTAGTGAGACCAGTTTGCACCCTGCACACATGAAAATACCAGGTTTTCCAGACTTGGACTTCATGGCACCCGGGGTATACTTGCCTTACGTGATTGGATTTCGTTGAGCAGAACTGTACTGTAGATGATCCGGCTTCAAGTCTTTCATTGCATGGCTTTCTGCTCGCTTGATAGACTTGGAAATGATGGTGGGTCGTGACACGCACTGGCGCGCACGAACGCACGCCCACACCAGTATTCACACACACGCACGCACACGCCCTCACATATACACACACACACACGCGCGCACACACACACACGCGCGCGCACACACACACACACACACGGTATTGTGACTTACCGGCGGTCAAGTATGCACGGAGGCAACAGGGTACGCCGTATTCCTTCAGCAGCAGCCAGCCGTGCAGGAATCTGCAGTTTGAGCCATTGAAAAGGGTTGACAAGAATAGTAATATCATCAGATAGTATCAAGAGTCCATAAACCTCTGTACATGGGGGTCCGCGCGGCGGAATTCCAACATAACGTCCAACATGACGTACACGTCGTTGCGCTCGTACTAATCCCTGGTTCCAAGCACTGCAGAATGCGGAGTTTTGTCCCCTGTGTGCCTCAGTGGCATGCCAGCCATTGGCGCGCCTGGTTGTGATGAAGCCGAGACCCAAGGTCGGCAGAGCATCCCAGACCACGCCACCACTCCCCTTATTCATGGCTCACACGTGACGGGTTTACGTGGCTCTGGTAGAAAAAAATGACATAATGTTGGACTTCCACCGCGCAGTGGGCCTACAGCAGCCACAGCCCAGTTGCACACTCTTGGACTTATGGACTCTTGATAGCATCATACCCAGACATGGTGAGAAGTGCTACTCGTGTAACATTTGTGTCGCTTCTTCCAATGATCATAATTATGGGAGAAGAGAATGTTGTGTAATAGGATACACACGTTTCCCTTAGCAATGAGAGCCACCCACATAGAAGAGCGCATGCTCCAGTGGATGTCTAGTCTTGAGTTGTTGTTGTCCTGTTCTCCTTCTCATTCTTATCTACACTCAAGGCTAGAAAGCCCCTGTGTTCTGATGCGAGGGGACTTCGTTTAGCCGGGAGCTTAGAGTTGAATGAATAAAAGAATTTTGAGTAAAGTGTAGAAAAGAAGCGTTTTGGAGACTATTATGGTAATCAAGAGTACTAACAGTGTGGTAACTCTGCTTTATTACAATACTTCCTCCAAAAGTATTGTAATAAAGCAAAAGCAAAACTTCGTCGCTTTTTTGTGTTCTTGTCATGATCTTTCTGTAGGCATTATTAGACAAACATGTCAGTGATCTATCCCCTGCATAGGGTACCCACAGTGTCGTCCATTGTTCTGACAGGCGTTTGAACCACCGAAAACTTCGAAAAGCGTGGAGTCCTTGAGAAAATCGGCGAACCATAACCGTTTCTTGACAGGATGACACCAGAACACAACAAACGGGGCATGAAACAAAAGTGCGAAAATGAGAAACAGTTTGAAAGACTGCGTGGCGCGAAGAAAGGCCCAGAATTCATGCAGAAGGCGGCCAGCCACTGCTGTACCAGCACGATGGTACGCGTCCTCACACAGCCAAAATAAATCAATGCACGTGTGTTTGCGGCGCAGGGGAAAGCAAAAGGGTTGATCATTCAGATTGTTGTTCAGCCTGCGCAAAGTCCCAATCTCAACGTAGACGACTTGGCGTTCTTCCACAGCCTGCAGACAGACGTATCACTCGTGGCGAAGGAAAAAAGAAAGGAGCTTCTGCAGGCTGTGGAAACGTGCTGGGATGAGTACCCCGATGCCAAGATGAGGAGCATTTGGTTGTGTCCGCATGGCTCTTTCCATGGCATTCTGGAGAGTCTGAGCGGCAGAGACAACAACTACCAGCGCAGCCGTGAAGGTCGTCAATCTCACAGTTCGAGCAAAGAACTTGGCGATCTCCACAATCAAATCGTGTCTCAGCAACTTGTAAAGGCTGCAAGACAATAGCTGACAGTGCTGGAGGCGAAAGTCAGTGAGGATGCCGACTCGATATCATCAAGGAGTGAGTCGTCATCAAATTCAGACGAAGAATGAAGGACTGCTTTGAAACGAGCTGTGTGAAATCTGTAAATAACTATCTCTCATATGCTGCTTTGTTTTCCACTTTCCAAAGCGTTTTGGTAGCCATGGAATGCTTTGGACTGAACTGTTAAAATGCAACGAAGTTTTGCTTAGCAGAGGAGGTAGTAACAAACATGCGAGAGCAACGTGAATGTGGAATGTACATGTAAAAAGAAGAAGTGTTCAGTACGGTTTTTTCTGGATAGGCGAGGGAACCGGATAATCGAACCCACATACTGTATGTATGCATGACATATGTTGTAAATCGGTAACCAACGATTTTCTTCCGGATGGCGAGGGATGTGGATAAAAGAGGACCGGGTAAGTGAAGTCTGACTGTGTAGGGAACAGAAAGAGGTGCGAAAAACGAAATAGAGAGCAAAGCGTTGTCCAGTCTCGTCGGGTCAGATGAAAAAACCTATTACTACAATGAATGTACGGACGAAATGAAGACAGCAACAAGGAACAACAGTATGTCGTTGCACAATGGGTTTATTCAACAATGGTTGCCACTATTTTCCTTCCCTGCAGAGCAATGCCAAATTCTCATCACGGCTGCATGGAGTCAGGAACGGTAGAACAATCGCAAGTGATAATGGATTCACACGCAAAACCTGTTGTGCATGCAATTTTTCTCGTGTAAACAGGCCCTGCGGAGTGGGGGGGGGGGGGGGTGCCCCCTCCCCACGATCCACTTTGACTAGAATTCTCAATGTGTTTCCAATAGATAGAAGACCTGGGCAACCTGTAATCAGACCTTAGGGTCTGTTGGGAATGCCCAAGTTAATACAATACAAAAGCCTGAAACAATGATATTTTGCAAGCGCTGCCTACTAGACTTTTTTTCTTCGGACTTTTCCTTCAGTATGTGACGAACGGAAAGGCAGTAGGAACGTGAACCGGCATTTTTGATCCAAATTTAATCATTCACACAAATTTACCACTGCCTTCGTGTACATTTTTGAAAATAGAGTAGGTGCTGGACTCGCAGTCACCCACCTGAAGTCAACCCCGTGCATTAGGCCTTGGCGGATAATGCTCAAAAAGGTAACAGATTCTGCTCGAAAAGCAGTGAAATTGGCAGAACCATACAAACCGTATAGCGGGCAATTCCTCGAATTCTGCTCCATTTCTTTATCCACATACCAAACATGCATGAAACTTACCAGAAAAAGTACCGATTCTGCCAATTTTTCTGCCGGCATTATCCGCCAAGGCCTACCGTGCACGTGTCATGTCGGCAGGTGAAAACAGGGGGGGGGGGGGCTTATTTTTCTCATGTAAGGCCACACGTTTTTTATTTCCATGTTTCTCGTCACCCGAAAATCTAAAATCGTATGCGATGGGTGGAAAAATGACCGAAAAATTATAAAAGTTTACAAGATCTTTGGTCATACTGAAATCGACCAGTACACCGCGTAAAATAGCATCCAAAGTTAGCAACTAGTAGACCTGCGTGGTAGGAGCTTCTGTGCACGTGCAGCTAGATTGCTCAACAAAAACTGCCGGCCTCGCATCATCATGGCCAGGTGTCGCGCAGGCCAGGCCAGGGTGCATATGTGCATGTGCTGGTCCCCACAGTGCAGCACTTTTTTTCTTTCTTTCTTCCAGACTCCTGAATCATATGCGCGCGGTTGACGCGAAACATAGAAATAAAAACGTGTGACCCTAAACTGCCTCCTCCTCACGAGCTACTTGACTAGAATCCTGAACGTGTTTCCAATAGATAGAAGACCTTGGCACCCTGTAATAAGGCATTAGGGTCGGTTGGGAATGCTCTAGTTAATACAATCCAAAACCTGAAACAATGATACCGGTATTCTTTTGCAAGCACTGCCTACTAGACTTTCAAACAGCTCTAAAAAAAAAAGGTTCGTATGGCTCACCTGCATTCGGGTCATTCTGATCTTTCGCCTTGAGAGATACGCGCTCCAAAGTTCAGATCCGGCTAGGCCACCGGCGAATAGAATAGGGACATAGTCACTCGCCTGGGGCGCTCCATGAAGTTTGGCCGAAACCACCAAAGAAGTGCTCAGGGAGGCAGGCATGTTTCAATGGTAGGTGGCGAAAAGTCTTGACGCACTTCGAGTCGTTGCCGACAGGAGACTCGTCAGGTTGACCGCCGCTGTCTTCGTGCAGTGTATCGAATGCCATACCAGAGAGCGAGATACGCTGCCAAACTAGTGACGGGAAAGCCTTTTCACTCCTGTCTCCAACTATTCTTATGGACGGCAGTGGAAAATACCGACTGTCGGTCTTGTTGGGTCAACTGTCAACCTGCTTTTTTTCTCCAGAAATAAAAACATTCCAACAAATACAACGACTACGGAACGCGAGCAGAATATTTGGAAGTAACTCGTTTGTGCTCCGGCCATGGCCAGGTTCTTCTGGTCCTCTAACTCGAGCACATCCCGAGTACACAGACGTCTTTCACCAGAGTACTTAGTATCTAGTTTACCAGACTGGCAGGAGAGCTGTCCTTGTCACTTGGCTTCTGCAAACTTTGAAAAGACTGCAGAACGGAACTGTGGTATGCTGCGAGTTCGAAGCGCGTAAAACAACAGTGCAACTAGTGTTGAAGAAATCTTGCACCTGTGAACCAGGTGATGGTGAACTGTGCATGTGTGGAGTAGAGTGTTGGCAGCAGCAAGCAAGCACTTGAAGCAGGGAGCACAGTTAGTAGATCTACTCCCTGGTAACGCGGTTGGCACTGGCAGTGTTGCACGTTTTTGGATGGCGATTTTGGATGCACTTGTGTTACCATGGTTACGGTTTAGGTCCAGCATATCGATTTCAGCGCGAGTGGACCGTATGCGTGTTAAAACAAAATGGCGTCACGATTTATTGAAAGTGGTATAGTTGGTGGTACGAATGTTCAAACGCATTTGAACTTCATACTGTTCGTCTTCTTTTTGACATGCTCTCTTTCCATCGTCCTTAGCTTTTGTTTGTTGAGAGCTGTTTTGGCTTTCTCCTATACCTCTGGGGGATGCCAAGTGATGGTTTTGAGAGGCTGGTGATGGCTGTGAGCGAGAGTTTGCCGATCGGCGTCGTCCTCGCTATAGCGATGAAAATACTAGTTACTGCGCATCTGGCAGATATCACAACACGTCGGAGCGTCCAGGAGCAAAGGAATCTTGGTTTTTCACTGGAATCTAGTTCCTCCAGCATCGTGTAGCCCACCGTCGGTGAATGGCCGTCCAGAAAGGTCGAACCTGGTCTTCTGCAGCATCTCGCAGTCCTGCGAGGCACACTGAATACGCCTGTCATGTATTCTACAAATAAAAATCACGAAGTAGTGGACTTTATAGTGATGAGTCTATCCTGTATGCTGCAAAAGACGCAGGAAATGTGACTGGTGTCCGTACACTGGACGCCAATATCATCCCAGTCTTCTCCTGCAGGATCTGTTTGACATTGATTGACATACCGGTATGCAGTGGGTCGACATTGGCCTGGTTTGGCAGCTATCTGCCTGGGTGGATGTAGCAGGTTTGCATTGGCGCGTCGTCCAGTCCGACATTTTCTTGTAACTGTGGAGTACCGGCAGGGTTTGAGAGGTTGCTCGTGCTGTGAACACATCTCTACTGCCTGTCTCATCCTGGAAGTGCCGTCTCGCCGCTTCCTTGCTCTACAGTCACGCCGTTATTTCGCTTTGTTTCGTGGTGCAGCTCAAAACCTGCCCAAACAACTGTGAGCTCGCAACATGGTATGGACAAATTGCACCACTCATGCTGGCTAACTAAAACCGGGATAGTCGAGTAAGCGAGTTCACTCCCTGGGCCATGGCAAGATCTGTTCAGCGCGGGATATTCCAACCTCCAAGTGCATAGTCACCGACCGATCCATGCGATGGTGGTTGACCTACAAAGAGCCAAGGTCTACGTGTACTACTAGTGGATGCTGTCTACATGCAGTCAACAAAATCAAAGTACCTCAGTATGCCCCAGAACAGGGCATGTGCATCTATAGCATGACACAACAGGGGTTCTGGTGGCACCTGTCAAACAAGCAGTAGCGACTAGTGCCAGCTACCTATTGGAGGCTAGCCGCTACAGTCTGTCACTGGAGATAATTATTATGTTCACTGTTTAGACTGAGCACAATCAATGATGCCCAATCAATCTGCCCAATGTGTGTTCTGTTCCACCTAATTATAACGTCCCATTCCATCAACCCTACTACATGCACATGTCGTCACTCTAGCATGACTTGTGTTATTATTGTTTATTTTGATTCGCACGATAAATAGAGAACAATAAACGTTAACTTGACCGAAGGATAAAGGCGACTGCAGATAGAGGAACACATCGAGGTACAGGTACCGGCATCAATACAGTATCAGAGAGAAACAAACAAAAATGAGAGGTACGCAGAAAAAACTCTCGTAAGCCCAAGGGGAAGTGGTTGATGAGGGATGAATGCACTCTCCACGCTCATCTACACTGTTCGTGGAAATGCACACATACATACAATAATATACAACATAGCAATAGCATGCACAGAACCGAACAATTTCATGTTCACACATGGAAGCACAGACCTGAACATTAGTACCACAAGCCGATACAGACAATATCCCCATACACACAGACGCACACACACACACAATGTCCCATGTATGCGCCCGTGGCGAGAAAAGCACGCAAATCTACAAATGCACTGGATGTGAACCCACAGATTTTCTCTTATAGCAACGATAGCGGATCTGATTCTGAATGAAACACACACACACAGACACACACAATACAATCATTGAATGCCCATCCGCAGATGATGGCAGGTCCTGAAAGAACAGGCAGTGTTCCAGTAATGGGGAACAGAACTTCGAGTGGCGAGTGAGGTATACACACACACACACACGTGCGTGCGCGGGCACACACTAAAGTATTCAGAAATAGAATCGACATTGTAGTATTCATTGGTTGGGGAATGGAAAGGAAAATAAAACATTGCTGTAGGTTATTGTTGTAAGGACATTGGGAGCACAACAGAAAGGTAAGCAACTTGCTTTGAAGCAAAGAAAGTTATTATTCCACGGATCTCAGAAGGAAGGAACGTTCCAGAATGCTGCACTGGCAACAGGCGGCCTGCATGTGCGCGGCCCCTGCAGTCGGTCCAGCTGCCGGCCTTGCAGTGCCGGTATGAATGTGCAGTACAGCATGTCACATAGTATCGCAGCCTGGACAAATAGGCGCTGGGAAGTCCTAGTTATGTGCTCACCTACACCACGATGCACCAATCTTCTGAGCTACTTTGGCAACAACTTTGTCCACTTGAGACTCCCATGGGCTGAGCCAGTTGTTGAGGGCTGCACCAAGGTGGACGGCAATGACCGCTGATGGCAAGGCAATCCATGACACACAGTCACTAGGGCATCGTCAACATGGCGCTGAGGCTGGATCGATAAAATCAACCTTTAGGCTGCCGCGGGGTTGACAACGAGGCCGCTGTCTCGAAGCTAGTCAGTCAGCCTGGTCACCGCCATTGACGAACCAGTCGCCACCGCCAGCAGTGGCGGTAGGTTGTGACAAGTGTGGTGCAATATTGTCAGCAAATTCAGTACTTAGGATAAGATGAGTGACAAAGGAAACGTTGTGTTTGATAATATTGAAGTGAATAGGGATGATCACAAACCCTGCGCGTACTCCACCGTGAGTTACAAGAAAATTCCGGACTGGACGACGAGCAAACGCCAACCTGCTACATCCAACCAGGCAGATACTATTACGATAGCTGCCAAACCAGGTCAATGCCGACCTACTGCATAATGTCAATGTCAAACAGATCCTGCAGGAGAAGACTGGGGTGTTGGCGTCCAGTCACTGAGTGTACAGACACCAGTCACATTTCCTGCGTCTTTTGCAGCATACAGGCTGAGACTCATCACTGTAGAGTCCACTACTGCATGAGTTTTATTTGTACAATACATGGCAGGCGTACACGGTGTGCGTCGCAGGACTGCGAGGTGCTGCAGAAGACCAGGTTCGACCTTTCTGGACCGCCATTCACCAACGGTGGGCTACACGATGCTGGAGGAACAAGATTCCAGTGAAAACCCAAGATTCCTTTGCTCCTGGACGCTCCGACGTGTTGTGATATCTGCCAGGTGCGCAGTAACTAGTATTTTCATCGCTACAGCGAGGACGACGCCGATCGGCAAACTCTCGCTCACAGCCATCACCAGCTTCTCAAAACCATCACTTGGCATCCCCCAGAGGTACAGGAGAAAGCCAAAACAGCTCACAACAAACAAAAGCTAAGGACGATGGAAAGAGAGCATGTCAAAAAGAAGACGAACAGTACGAAGTTCAAATGGTTTTGAACACTCGTACCACCAACTATACCACTTTCAATAAATCGTGACGCCATTTTGTTTTAACATGAATATCGCGGGTTGATCGTATTATTATTATTATTATTATTATTATTTGAAACTCGGGTATTGAGCCAATAATAAAAGGAGAAAGGGAAAAGGACATATGGAAACGAGTTAAGAGTAACTCTCCACCACTGTAACTAGATACTATATACAGTCAGAAAGTGCAACAACTAGGCACAAAACTGACAGAGTACTGAGACATTCGACGTCCTGACACCTAGCTTCAACACATCTCCGTAGCGCTAACCGACAGCCTTCCAACTTGGAAGGTTCGAGGTTATGGAAAGACCAAAGAGGGGAAGGCAAGCGCAACGAAAACGAGCACAAGCTACAGTCCCAACGGAACAAAGAATGTCGATTGTCACTGGACGATGACGAGACCAGTAGGCGATTTGACAAAGCGGTCTAACTACAATTCGAAGCAGCAAAGCAGCACACCACCCAACTTGGGTGGGTCAAAAATATCAAAGATAAGTTAAGAAGGGGGAAGCTTTGCGAGAACGAATTGTACAAGCCGAAATCTAAACTCCTACAGTACTCCTCATGCATGACATTGTGATGGACTAGTTAACTACAAAACAAGTTGTTTCACACGACGTACGTTTCGCCGTATGGTTCGTGACGGCTCATCAGGTGTGCAATTTGAAACTCGGGTATTGAGCCAATAATAAAAGGAGAAAGGGAAAAGGACATATGGAAACGAGTTAAGAGTAACTCTCCACCACTGTAACTAGATACTATATACAGTCAGAAAGTGCAACAACTAGGCACAAAACTGACAGAGTACTGAGACATTCGACGTCCTGACACCTAGCTTCAACACATCTCCGTAGCGCTAACCGACAGCCTTCCAACTTGGAAGGTTCGAGGTTATGGAAAGACCAAAGAGGGGAAGGCAAGCGCAACGAAAACGAGCACAAGCTACAGTCCCAACGGAACAAAGAATGTCGATTGTCACTGGACGATGACGAGACCAGTAGGCGATTTGACAAAGCGGTCTAACTACAATTCGAAGCAGCAAAGCAGCACACCACCCAACTTGGGTGGGTCAAAAATATCAAAGATAAGTTAAGAAGGGGGAAGCTTTGCGAGAACGAATTGTACAAGCCGAAATCTAAACTCCTACAGTACTCCTCA